TCTCTCTCTCTCTCTCTCTCTCACGCCGAAGGCGTGCCATTGTTTTGTGTCCATGCCAGTCGTGTGAGGTGACCGTTTCTGCTGATGACGTCATTGCCGCTGTAGGGCGAGGATGCTCGTGTGCCGACGACATGCGATTCAAGCTGTTCACGAAGACAGACACAAAGTTGAAAGTTCGACTGGGCGGCATGCATGGTGCGCACAAAGGTTGGGCGCTGGTAGGTTTGCGGGGACATGATTCTGTGGAAGATGCGATTGCAGCCTTTTGGTCCATGCTGTCGAATACAACACTTACAAGCCTTGAGATGTGCTTCTCGCGTGCGATTCACGACAGAACTTGGGCAGGCCGTTCGCTTTTGTCATATCCACGCAGTTCGTAGTGCAGTTCGTATCATAGTTCGTATCATGGTTCGTATCATGGGTTTTCAGTTCGTATCATGTTCGTACTATATACCTTTTGTGGTTCGTATCATATGATACGAACTGGTTTCCGCGCTACGAACCATGATACAAACTATGCCCGGCCACACCCGAGGAAGACGCTGGACGAGCTGGTGCCCATCATTCTGGATCCCAACTATGTGTGCCACCGGTCTTCATAGCATCTGGCCGCAATCCCGAGGATTTCTTGTAGTTAGCTAGTTTTGCAAGACGATGGTAATCCTCCGACACGCATGCGCACACACACACACATGTTTTTTTGGGCCTAAACCCTAAACTTTAACCCTAAACTAAACCCTAAACCCAACCGCCCCAAGACAGTGCAATTGGGTGCCCATGATACTTTGCCCACTGATGCTCATGATGCATGGCCCGCAACGCGACAATTGTGGGTCACAGGCAGCATCGATTTTTGACCCACACACTCGGTCCCAACAGAACCCACTGATGCTCATGATACGTGGCCTCTCTGCTTCTCTGGGCATGTCTTGCTGGAAAAGCAATGTATCAAGGCAAAGCTTTGCTGTATACAGAAGTTTCGTTCTCAACCCTATAAGCTTCGTCCTGATCAGTACAGCCCGCAGCCCAGCGTGAAGCCAAGTTGCTACCAACATGAACGAGACTGCTGCCGCGGAGCTATTCACTCACCCTCCAGCAAAACATTGAACATTGGTATTATGGGGTCGCCGTGTGTTGAGCCTTGACTGAGACTCAATTTGCGACAGGCAGGTCGTTCAAGTTTGATCGCTCCAATGTGATCAATGTAATTGAGGACTGGTCGTTCTGGGGCCAACGACTGGGTGTTGAAGGAGCTTCGGCACCAGTGCTTTTGACGATGTGCCTAGGCGGAACTATTCGGCTGTGAGATTGAAGCTGTTTTCAGCACTGTGAGTCGAGTGTGTTGTCGCGCGTGTGTCGTTCAGCTCAGGATCAAGATGCTGCGTGAGTCCCAGTGGGATTTGGTTATCCATGAAAACGTGAAGTCATTCCCAGATGAAAAGATGATGGAACTTTTAGGCACGGACCTCCCGCAGCCCCAATCTAAAACCTGTAGACTTTAGATCCAGTTAACCCCAGATGACTTTCATGTTGCTCTGCTTGTTGGGATCAACCTATACCTAGTTTTTTATTTGTCGTTTCACTATGTAGGATAGAAATACTCTTTGATGTTGCTCTGCTTATTGGGGGCTCAACCTACACCTAGAAATTTATGTGTCGTTTCGCCATGTAGGATAGAAATACTCTTTGATGTTGCCCTGCTTATTGGGGGATCAGCCCATACCTAGATATTCATTTGTCGCTTTACCGTTTAAGATAGAAATATCCGTGGGGGTGGGGTGGGGCGGGGTGGGGTAAGGGGGTGGGTGGGGGTGGGTGGGGTATGGGGAGCCCAAACCAGACTATGGGATTACGATCTGAGATCGCTGCTGTTTGAGTCCCCGGGAATCGAGGTTCGTGAATGCAGCCAGCCATGTTGATCAAGCAAACTGCTGCAAAGTCGTCATGTAAATTTACATGACGACTTTTCACGGGTTTTGGGTCCTCACAGACCAGCCTCCCGATGCCACAAAACCCCGGCTGATGCTCATGATGCTGGGCCCCGGTGCTCATTATGATGGGTCTTGGGGTGGTTTGGGGGGTTTTGACAACTGACCCAACGCCCTTTCTTGCAAAAACCTCCTGGGTCAGTTCCTTCAACCCCACGCAAGCAGCCCCCAAACCAGCTTCCCGATGCCACAAACCCCGGCTGATGCTCATGATGCTGGGCCCCGGTGCTCATTATGCTGGGTTTGGGGTGGTTTGGGAAGGGTTTTGACAAGTGACCATTGGGGGATCAACCACTATACCTAGACATACATGTGCCGCTTCACCATTCTCACCCGCCCCCCGGGAGGCGATGATTGTCATCTATTGGCCACCATGAGCTTGGATCCTCAAGATTCCGGATTTCCCTTGTCGCGCCAGAGGAAATACATGTTGATAGGCCGGCGCCACATGGAGTGCATGCCTCAGCTTGCTAACCTACGTGCTTGTGATGCAGCATAGTCAAGTATAGTCTGGATGTGTTTTTTGAACGTACATATCCTAGGCTGACCTGTGATGTTGGCAATCTCTTGGATGCAACGCGTGTGTCTATGGAAGCTCTCCGCATATCTTCGTTCCTGGACCTGCTCCCAAAGACCAAGCATGTGGACGAATGTCAGGGAAATTACAACACCAGCACGGGGCTTACGTTAGCAGTGCACGTGCGCATGACGAACATGTAGTGTTGGAATGTCCTGCTTTGGTTGGGGAGTGTGTGCTCTTAAGCAAGGACGGCTTGATTACGAGCGTATGTTTCCAGACATGGTTGCATTTGACCTGCACCAAAGCCCCTCTCAACGTGCCCGGCGTGCTTCGAGAATTCTGTTTCCCCTGACAACTGGATGTAACCGCGTGTGGCTGAGAAACCAAAAGCGGTTCCTGACCGGCACCGAGCTTTTATCTTTGCATTCCATCCCAATCAGCATCGATGTGGCCCGGGTCATGAAATGCAGACCCATCCGAATGGAGAGTATCTCTAACACAGGCCGATGCACTCTTGTCGGAAATTCGATGCATGGCGCCTCTGTTGGAAAGGTGTTTGCGATTGCTCTTCTGTACAGTAAGAAGAAATCATCGACTCCTGACGGAGGACGTGCGAGGGCAAGCCGAAACTCGGATCACGCCGGCTTTCACGAGTCATGCTTCATGTCACACTGGAGGTCTGTGAAAAGCAGAGCGGGCTTGTGCTTGATTGGCATGGACTTCTTTGCAGCCTTTTGATCGTTCAGGCGGTACTCCGTGAGTTGTTGTTGTGTTTGAGTGCATTAAGCCAACAGCCATGTCAGACAGGGAATCATCTGACCAATCAGATGGTGAGTCGATCAAGGTCAACTGCTTGGATTGTGGCAAACTATGCTCGATCAAGAAGGCTGTGAAGTTTGGGAAGCGCTTCAGAGACCCCAAATGCCATTCAGCATACAGGTGGTTGACTGTGAACGATCCGGAATGGCCCACCAAGACAGCAGAGGAGAAACGGCAGACGGTGGTCGCAAACCGCGGCCAAGGAGGTCGCGGAACCGCTAGGAAGCTTGTCGCTGTTCACGAAGCTCCTAGGCGTAATCGTGACACATCAATTCGTGACACTGCACAGGGCCACTCAGCATTCTTAGTGTTTGTGCAGTTGCGAGGTTGAAGTGGACAAGTATGCCGACAGCGCCGCATCAGTGCCTTACTTGACAGAGTTGAGGCGGGCTTGATGTGCAATGTTGGCATGTTGCTATCAATTTCTTCAGTAACAACCGGGTCAGGTTCAAACGCAAGGGTGCAAAATGGTATGGATGGAGCGAGGAGAGGGCGCAAGAGGAGTGGGACAAGGCAGTTCGGGACAAGAATGTGAAGCGCAAAACCGACCAGTTCGGGAATCTGACGATCGCAAAGCTGTCCGAGGAAGCCGATGTTTCAGGCTTACGCATCGGCAACAAGCGCAAAATCCAGGAAAAGAGCAAGCACAATGTTGGTGATGAAGAGGCTATTGAGAATTTGGCCACAGGCCATGGCCTTACCGCTGCAATTGACAAGTTAGATCTCAAGTTTCGAGTTGTCTCGATGCCGTGTCGAAGCGTTTGTAGCTCGTGCTAAGGTCTGGCTCAGTCCCGGCTAGATGTCGAGGTGAAAATGTCGGCAGCTTCAGGTCTATGTGGGTTGAGAAACAGATTGGCGTGTGTTGTTAGTGGTTGGCGATCTACTGTATACACGACTCGTGCCAGGACTCAATCTCCTGACTTTGAGCGACAAGGGTCCGTCCAGTGCCAAGGCTGGCAAGGCCAAAGCAAACAAAAGTGGCAAAAAGCCGCGGGAGACAAATGCTGTGGCAGATGATCCGCCCCGAAATCCATCCTCCTCGAAGACGCAGTTGGACCCAGAGGCCACGAAGAGGCTTGAGAAACTGAAGCTGGACTCCGATGTGGTCAGAATGAGCCAGAAATGGGTTGGTCGCATCAAGACGCTCAATGTTGAGGCTTCGCAGTCTTTGGCGGCAGCTGAGCAATTTCCAGAATTGTCCGCGCCCCTCGCTATGCATCCGTAGTCAGACATTGATGGTCACTATTTGCTCACTTGCTTCGTTGCACATTCCGAGGTTGAGCAACGAGGTCGAGGGTGCGTTGGATAAGCTCGCGATCAGCGGGCCGATTGTGCCCATGTCACCCAGCATGAAGTCGACGCGATTGGAAATTTTGGGAGACAAGTTGCAAGCGGAACGCAGTTCCGAGGCAACACATGCGCTTGAACGTTGTAACTCAAAGAAGGAATTGGGTGAGTACGACAAGCGCATGGCAGGCCATGAAGGGTTGCTGAAAAAGGCGCTGGCACAACTGGACAAGGATGTTGAGCACCACCAGGAGCAGGCAGAGAAGGAGAGGGCGATGAAGGAATTGCTGCAGGCGCGGCTTCAGAAGAAGAGGAAACTGATGGAGTCACGGAAGGCAAAAGGCAGGGCAGCCGGTTTCAAGGAGGGTAAGGCGCAAGTGGAACTCCAGAGTGGCAGTGGGGAGGAGGATGGACCTGATTCTGATGCAGAATCGGGTGCAACACAAAATGCTCCACGTGATGGTGAGAACCCAGATGAAGATGACAGTGATGGGGCGTGGTGTTTCACGCAAGAGGCTGATGTCTTGATCAGGGACAAGGCATTTGGTGTGGATTTTGTTCACCGTAACTCTCACCCAGATTCCGTGACCTTCGTGAATCCAACGCTGTTCACAAGCCTGGACTTGAACGGGTTCGGGTTTGACCAAGCAGTCTCAGACGCTCTGTACAAAGAGCATGTTGTTGGGAATGATGATGAGGAGGATGCCGCCGATGATGCCCGTGATGATGACCAGCCAAAGAACTTGACGTATTTCAAATCCGTGGTCGCATCACCGGTGGATGAATGGACCAAGAGCTTGCCTGCAGTACTCGAGAAGTTGGCTGCAGGTGTCGCGGCTTTCCTTCTGGGTTGGTCCATTGGGTTGTTTCACTTGTCTTGGTTGGGTGGGGGAATTCGGTTAGATGATGCCAGCTGAGGTGCCAACGCTGTGCAAGGCTTGCTTGAGCAGGACTTCATGTCGTCTGATTGGTCCAAAGTGCTCAGTGGAAAAATCCAGTACTCAGGGCCGCGCCACAAGTGGATGGGCTTTTCCGATTTGCTTTGGGGCAGATTGGTTTGGGTTGTTGGAGGAGAACGTGTCTGCGTCGGGGTGCCCCTTATGGCTTTTCAAAAGGACCTTGCAGATGCCAATGCTGACATCAATGGCATCACCACTAGGCTCACAGGCATGTCGCGTGAAGACATCAAGAAGTCTGGAGGTTTTGCTTGCCTCGTGGAGTCAGGCGATGTACTTGTGATTCCACCAGGGTACTTGCTGGCCGATGTGAACACGGGCGCCTTGGACGACTGCCCGGTGGACTCGGAGGATGCCCCGGCCGATGTGGGAGCAGCTCGACTGCTCGTTTAGACCCAACAAGGTTTAGGGTTTAGAGTATCGGCGGTGGCCCCAGACCACATGCTAGCAGATCGCACGCGTGAATCGGTGTTTGACGTCTGAGTGTCTATGCCTTCGCTGGCGAGGTGTTCCCCGTCTTGACACGGGACCAGCTCGTGAATTTCGACCTCGGCGTCTATGATGCTGCCATCCGTCTTTGTGCTGTTCATGGGGGTTTGTGCTCCAACTTCAAGCATGGTAAAAAGATGGTGCATTGTCTTCAGCTGCAGCTCAACAACGTGGGCGTGAAGGATGAAGTCCAGAGCCCTGTTCGCATCGGTCGTGCCCTGAAGCCTGCTTCAGGTCCAGATGCTTCGAAGGCTGGTCTCATGGAGCTTAAGCCACACGACCTGCAGTTGGTTCCGTGGGTTTCGGATGACGATGATGCTTCCGTGGAGCGTGCAGTTCATGAAGCGTTATCTTTGGTGACGGCGGTCGTCACGAACGAGGTTGGGGGCGCAGCATAATTCAAGTCGAAGTTGACATGAGAGGTTCTAGCGTTCCCCCACTGTTTGTCCAGTGTCATGCAGGATTCCTGCAATCGTGATGGTCTGCTGGATTGTGCAGCTGTTCGCCTCGAGCGCGTGTTGACGATTCCTGGAGTCTCCATCGATGTCTTGAACTCGCAGGCCCATGCGATCCTTCAACAGACCCACGAGGATTGCCGCCAGGCACAGGAGATGTGGCACCAGTTGGTGGCGCGAGTGAGCCGAAGTGCAACTGCGACCGGTTCCATTCTTGCGGATGCTCCCGATGCCCTTGGCACCCATCGTGACTACGCTAGCTTTGTGAATGCAGAGCAACGCGAGGCGCTTGACAAGGAGTTCGACGAGATGTCCGAGAACAAGACCACAGATCCGGACAACAAGGATCCGGACAACAAGCCGCAAGTGCCTTTCCCGGGACTCTCAGGTACTTTCAAGGACACCACACAGGCTAACGTTGATCGGTTCTTTGATCCGGAGCTACGCAGGCAGGAGAAAGAGGATGCAAAGTCGAAGAAGTTCCTGGATCCCCCAGCCCCAGCAGCAACCAACAAGAAGCCCAGCAAATCTAAGCCGTCGTCTGCGTCCAAGACCAAAGCAAGCCCTAAGAAGCAGCCCAAGTCCCCGAAACCCAAAGCCAAAGGCAAGGCGACGGCAGCCCCTAAGGCCAAGACCACGGAAGCTCCACCCCCGAAGCGGGCAAAAAGGAAGACTGCATCGAAGTGATTCGGTCTCTCAGGCTTTCGGTGGAGATGCCCGAGCGGCGAAGTGTTTCCCAGAATCAGTTTTGCAGGTTTGATTTCGAATCCGAAGGCTTCAATTGCTATGTCGACATGTGCACGATCGAGACGATGGAGAATGAAATTAATGTTCAATTCAACTCAATTCGATTCCTATATGGCCTATGACTCAAACTTCCGGTTCATGTTGGTCCACATCGCCTACGACGCCTGTGTACCTGTGCATCTTCGGATTCGCTTGAACATCCAACCTTTTGCTCTCTGGGTGGCTCCCTGGTTGCACACCTTTGGAGTCTCAGAGAAGCGTCCTAGTAATGTCGTTCCTCCATGTTGCTGCCACCGCTGAGGCCACTTCTCATTTTGGATTCGGGGCTGCTGCGACTTTGGACGTTGAAGAGACTTCTCGCGTGGTTGATATGAAAAACAAAGCTCTGCTGTCAGTGATGCGTTCCCACCATTCAAGCTAAGTCACGGCAAACTGGAAGCCTGAAGCAGTATATGAGATAGAACTTGTTACCCAGCCAATCAGTCGCTGGAGCATCGATGCATAACCATTTGTGGATTTCAGCTTGTTGCACCTGTGATTGGTTGTTGTTCGTGTGATCAGATGTGCTTCTGTGTTTGAACCCTGGTTTGTCCCCGTAGCCATATGCCGTCATTCACCCGCCGCCCCAGGACACCTCGTTGACATTAGTACACGGCAGTCAACATAGTTGACG